CTGAGGGGGACGGGGTTTGTTTGGATGTATATATACTGGGGTGGAATTGGATCCAGGCTGTTCGATCAAACGAGATCAACGACTTGGATCATTTGACTAAATAAAGCGACGTCGTTTGAGTGAGCTGAAGACCGGATCCGTCTTAGATTAAATGGGTCGGATATGGGTGATGGGCAAAGCTTTGGGTCGTTCGATCAAATAAAATTGACGGCCCTGATCAAAGCGTGTCCAAACGACGTCGTTTGGTTCTGGTAAGGGCGGACCGGGTTGGGACGGGTCTGGGCTGGTTTTTGGCTGGGTTTTGGTTTTGGGCTTCTTAAATCAACTTAAATTTGGCCCAATTCTGAAAACTTAAAACCAAAATCCTAAATTAAATTATAAAAACACCAAATTAACTTAAAAATACTAATTAACTCCAACTAATAATTATCACAAATAATTAAATGCCAAATTAAAAGAAAATCACAACAATTTGACTAAAATTACAAAAAATATGTTATTATTTTTTGAATTTTCATTTTTGTAAAATATCTAATTATTAATTAATTCCAAAAAATGTAAAAATCAAATCTTAAATGAAAATGCTATATTTTTGTATTTTTAATGCATTAATAAAATTAAACATGCACACAAATATATGCGAACAATCAGGGAAATCACACAATAATTCCTAAAAATAACACATAATTAAAGAAAATACCTAATTTTGGGAATTATTTTGGAGTAATTCGTATGAGGCAAAAATCACGTGCTCACAGTATGTTTAATTCATTTTATTTTTATTAGCCAATTATTGAATAAAAATCTAGCTTTCGAATAAATATTTTTGTTGCTTCTAAAGTTTTAAGTTTTGTATGTTGTTTTATTAGATGGAATTTGTAAAAAAATTAATTTAAAAAGATTGATTTTCTGTTTGCTTTAGAAGTTAGTCAAATTGACCTTAACATAAAATTTATAAACTAAATATTTAAAATTAATGAATTAATAAGTTGATCCTTATGAAACTTTTAGTCTCATTATACATGTATTTGATAGAGTATAATATAGTTTTCTTCATTATAGTTTAGTGTTGAACTTATCTGGAAAAAAAATAGTATAATTATATTTCCAAGTATTTTTAGGTTATTAAGTCTTTATTGAATCTAAGCAGTTGTGGAACAGTAAATTTTATCAGAAAGAGATAGTTTAATATTGCATAATGATATGATAAAATTAGAAGTAAATGTTCTCTTATTATTTTTTATCAGCAAGTAGGTTAATTATAAATTTAATATGATAAGTAGAACATAAATTCCTTTTTCTATTTGAAATATTTACGCCATTTGTGGTTATTTAACAAAAAACTTGATGATTTTTTTTATTTAAAAAAACTAATTTATAAACTTTTCCAAAAAAAAATTAGTCACATTATTTACATATAATGGTAATTCAGTATATACTAATTACAGAACCAAAAGCTAACAGATCAATATAAGTGTATGCAATTAGTAAATAGTGACAATTGTAATAATATGAATGGTTGGAAAATGCAAATGGTGAGAGACGGTTTAGGTGGGGATTGGGCGTGGGGTCCACATGGGGAAGAACAGAGTAAAGCTACTATGAGAAGTGTGCAATGACAGACTATGACACAAACAAAGGTCAATTTCGTCAAGCTACTCAAAAGTTTACATAGCAGCTACAATAATATTCCTTTTTAGCCAACCATAATATTTTATTTTACCCAAAATGACCAAATTATCCTTACAACCCCAAGTAGACCTGGTCGTCCAGCCGTGTGCTAACTCACTCTTATTAGATAGTAGAATACATGAATTTTATACTAATTAAATTTAATTTTATACATTAATTATACATATACTATATATTTATTGGCCATTTTTAGTTCAAGCGGCCGGATAGACGGCTATTTAGGTTAATTCTTCTAAAATGTAAAATGTAGCAAGTAGTAAGTGTGTTTAAATAGAGAGATGTAACAAAGAGGGGAATTCGGAAAAAGAAACATAGTTTTTGGTCATTTACGATTCAAACTCTCTAATAAACCCCTCTCTAATAAATCCCTCAAAGTTCTTGCAACTACAAGCACTACAGGTGTTCATAATTAATTCATAAGAGTAAACTTCAGACTCATTTAACTGATTTTTATTCTTCAGGGATACAGAATGGCTATCAACCCGAAGACGGAATTGCCGGGTGATTTCCTCTATTTTTTAATTTAGCCTTAGATCTTTAGGATTAAGACGAACCTTATATCTGTTTGCTTAGTTAAAGCATCTCACATTATTTTTTTGTGCTCCATCCATTCTGTTTCAAGTGTTGAAAAATGAATTTTAAACTCCCTCTGGCCCAAAAAATTGACCAGGTTTGGGTAACGTGTGAGTTGCTCAATTCGGACCTCAATTCGAACATCATGTAAATCATGTTTGTAATTAGAGTTAAATTGACAGTTTTACAGTATGTGCAATGATTAAACATATACTTTAGGAAAATTTTCATTACCTACGCGAAATGTTAGATGATATGGTTCTAATTCAGTTCAGCGTGATGAGGATTTTATGTTAACCCTATGAAAGTTGTGAATCTCATTTTTTGAATAATGTTCGGGGTGAGCAAACATTTTCTGTTTCATTTTGGTGCCTTTTGTCGTAATGTATTAATTATTTAGAGTTAAGGCACTTTCACCTGCCTTCACAATATGGAGGCAGCACCACTGGGGATATCTCACAAAGTATTTGCAAAATTACTAAAGTTGATTGTAAGATCATCACCGTGCGCAAATTTGTATTCCAAATTTTTCTTGCTAAAAAGAGAGAAATATAGGGGTATACTTAGGTGCATACTAGTGTTGTGAAGAGCGTGAAGCGAGTAAAAGCGATAAGTCCATTTTCGCTTCTCGCTTTAAGCGAATCGCTCACTTTTTTAAAGTGAAGCGGAATTTTAAAAAAATATTAAAATAAATACTGTATAGACAACACATGTAACCGTAAGCAAATGTTCAATACTTCAATGTAAAAACTAAAGAGTAGTATCAATTAGAGCACAAAATGAGTATCCTATTCTTCTACAAGATTGTCAAATTCTTGTGTTCCACTGTCATTATTATATTGCTAGTCATCTTCTTCAACTTCTTCTTCTTCATCAATTAGGGACAAAGTTGCTGCTTCTTTTCCCTTCCTGTGTGAACTTGAAGTTGAGGTACTCCCCCTCAAACCATAAATCCTCTCCCTAATTTCACGTGCCTCCGCAACATTACCCCAAGTGAAATCAGAAGTTTCCTTAAGTACTTCTTCATCTGCATAATCTTTCGGGACTCCAGTTAACCATTCATTAGCATCATCGATGTTGTCCAAACTAATTGGATCAATTATATTGCGAGCGTTCTAACAACGCCTCAATGTTCTATTGTACTTAATGAAGACTAGATCATTGATGAGACGCTTCAAGGTTAGTTTGTTCCTATTTTTTTGGTATGAATCTGCAAATAATAAGTAATTAGTAAGATTAGAACAATTGAGATATAATTTAATTATATCAATATACTAAATCTTTCTTCTTAATTCTTAAATGTTCAAACACGCTCCAATTCCTTTCACACCCGGATGAGCTACACGTTAGACTTAGAACCTTGATGGCATACTTTTGTAATTCTGGAGTGGAATGACAATATTGCTTCCACCATTCAGCTGTAGAAGTAGAACAAATATTCAAAACATAATATTTATAAAGAAATAACTTATTAACTTTAAAGCAACATATAAGCACTTGCTACCCTGGTGACTTCATCTTTCTTTGTCTAATAGCCATGTTTTTTCCAAATGTTGCTCAACATTCCTATAAGTACTAAATTGCTCTGTTGTTTTATCTTGCACGGATTCTTCCGGCATCAACTTCTCAGTAAATTCAATGTATCCATTCCACAATTCTTCATCTCCTATAATCCTATCCTCATTGTCATAAAATAGTTCCGGGTCCAAAACAAGTCCAGCTGCATGCACAGGGCGATGAATTTGATTCGTCCACCTTTTATCTATGATCTCAAAGACTCTTTTATATTTTTCTTATCACTAAAAGAGTCTCGAATAGCCTCCTTTGCCCTATCCATTGCTTCGTAAAGGTAGCCCATTGCTGGTCTTTGCTCTCCACCCACCAAATGAAACACTTTAACTAAAGGATCACCAATTTTCAATGCATGAACCACATTATTCTAGAATGAAGTGTAAAGCATAATATATGCAGATTCTCTCCCTCGAGCTTCCCTTCCATAGGTTTTGTTAGTGTATTCATCTGAAATAAACAATTTCTTCAAATTGCTTTTTTGCTCATACATCTTATGCAAAGTCAAGAAAGCGGAAGCAAATCTTGTCTTTGGAGGTTTAACCAAGCTTCTTTGTTTAGTGAATTTCTTCATCATATTCAATAATAAAGGCCTCTGAACAATATAGGAATGCACTCTAATTGCCTGATTAAAGGCTGAACTGAAGGGTCATTCCTTGAAAATGTTACCGAAGATCAAATTAATGTAATGTGCTGCACATGGAGTCCAATAAATATGCGGGTACGCTACAGACATCAAATCACCAGATTTAACATTTTCACTGGCGTTGTCCGTGACAACTTGAAGAACATTTTCTGCTCTAATAGAGTCTATTGTACTCTTGAACACGAAGTACATTTTGATTGAATCAATAGAAGAGTTGCTTGCATCAACGGACTCAAGAAACAAGCTTCCCTTAGGAGAATTCACCAAGATATTGATGATCATTTTTCCATTTCTTGCCATCCACTTATCCATCATAATGGAACAACCAAACTTGTTCCATTCTACTTTGTGCTCCTCCACGATTTCGTTAGTCTCTTCCACCTCTTTTTTTAGATATAGACCTCTAACTTCATGATAAGTTGGAGGCTTCATTCCTGGACCATATTGGCCTACGACCTCAATAAAAGCAGAAAAAATGTCAGTTTAATTAACACAATTAAAAGGAAGACCTGCATCATACATCCGCCGCGCAAACATTGCAACTGCACAATCCCTCAAAATCGCTTTGGCATCAATTTGACGATTACCACTTTTCCCTCCCATATCTCCTGGTTTTTGCAGGAAATAACAATCCATAGGACCTTTAGTCTTACCAGTAGATCCACAACTTGAAGACATTGTTTGTATCCTTCCTCGCTTTTGTGATTTTAATGGAAGCGACGAACCATCGTCACCTTCTATCGCATCATCGTCATCGTCAAGATTATGTAGTTGTTCTTGTTCATGATGCATTTGAGTCTTTGACTCTTTTTTTTAAGGTATGCTTTCATTTCTTCCTTCACAGGCGGCGGAACTTTAGGACAAGATGCGACGTTTGGATCACCACCGATTAGATGAAATTTTTGACGATAGATTCCCCCATTCGAAATCTTGTCATAAAAAAGACATCTAATTTCCATCTTGTTGGTCTCGCTAACTCTTACAAAATAAGCCCAAGCCGGCTCTTTCCTATCTTCTTTTTGTGCCACTAAAAGAACAACTGAATAACACATACAAAAGATAATAAGAACTAAGAATAAATAATATTAAAAAACTGGCAGTAAGTATACCGAAAAAATGGCAGTATAACTGAAACGAAAAAATGGGCAGCATTTCGCTGCAATTTATCACTGAAACAGTGAAAGAAAAAGAAGAAGAAGAAGAGAATGAGAAAAAGGCCTGAAGGGAAAAAAATTTGCCAGCATTTCGATGCTATTTTGAGACTGAAATAGTGAAAGAAAAAGAAAAAGAAGAAGAACAAGGAGGAGGAGGAGGAGGAAGAAGAAGAAGAAATCACATACCTGGGCTTGAACTTGATGATCTTGAAGTTAAAAAGTGCAGAAAACTTGAACCCTAGTCGCCTCTGTTGTTCTCTGCTGCTGCCTGCTCGATGGTCTTTTAGAAAAAGAGAGCCTTTTTAATTTAATAACGTTGGCAGCCAGTTATAAAGAGAAGCACTCGCTTCTGTCGCTTTTTCGCTTTCACGCTTCTCGCTTTTTTTGGAGAAACGATCGCTTTAGGTAACCTGATACGCTTCAGATCAGAGAAGCGCCAAAGGTCCGCTTCGCATCGCTCGCTTTTAACAACACTGGTGCATACAAGAAGGAAAAAGAACTCCATTGATGACCGAATATGAAAAGATATCCTTCTATCTATGCTTGTGCCACTGCCATCTACTTTGATAGTATTATGAAATTCACATATATAGTCTGTGTTGCTAGGAAGGTAGAAAACAAAGAAACGAACAAAAAGACATATTTCAAAGCGCACACGTAATGAGTTTGAACCCTGTCACAGACAAAAGCCTGGTATTTAAGTAGAAAAGGGTAGAGGGGCGGGCCATTATTCACTGAGTTACGAACCGTGCACCATGGCCATTGGGGATTTCTCGGTTATCAAAAAAATATATATTTCAAAGCATTGGAAAGTGCCTTTAGGTTGGCATGTGTGCTTTCCTTTTTCACTTGACTACATTGCTTGCATATTTAATTTTCCTTATACCTTCCACAGGTTTTGAAATGATTCCTTAGACCTGTACAAAAATTTAAATAAATCAGATAATTGATGTTCCCTTTTGCCACTTTTGATGATAAGAAAATACTTCTTGCAGGAGATAGACTGAATTCGAGAGCAATCAACTTGCACAACATGTCAAAGAAACCCGTTGCATCAATCAGCAAACAACAGACACCACTTGATCTCTTACGCATACTATATGGTAAGTTATCTTAATTCTTTGGATTGATAGCCTGTGCAAGATGTTACCACAAAAATTCTTGGATTGATAGCCTGTGCAAGATGTTACCACTATAATTTCTGGAGTTTTACTGGTGAGCTCAAGCCTTTTAACTTTATAAAAGAGTGACTGAACCTTTTAATATGAAAATATCAGACTCAAGGGTAAAACTTTTTCCTATCCCCAGAGCAAATTAACATCATCTTTATTCTGCTTGCATTTGCATTCAGTTTTCACTTTCTTGTAAGATAACCACAATGATAGCAAGAATAGATACAAAATTATGAATTTTCAAGTGATACAGAATTTGTGATACTTGCAATGTCTGCAGTATCTGCACTATTTCACTGACATGTGCAAATGCATCATGCAAACACGTGCAGATCACATTGTGCTTGGGAAGCTAATTTGTGTCCTTTATTAATTGACCGGAATATGTTGGAGAGTATTTTGAAAGGACTAAGAAAAATAAAGGATGAAAAAGGATCCTATTTAAGAAGACTAAATTCATCTCAAAAGTAGGAAGACTATATATCCGGCATCATTTATGTCTTCTTTGTCATCTTATTTCCTCCTTAGGGAAAATGGTGATATTTTATGCTTCTCATCTAATGCTGTTGCACCATTTTTCCGATTCGGCTGGAAATAGCACTTCTTAAAGCTCTTGCTAATTTGTGCTACTGCTTGCCAGAACTAATATCCTCCATGTATAAGATTTCTACGTCTAAAGATTGACTCTAGTTACTTTATGAGTAAAAAGGCATCACCTGAATAAACTAGAAAATTCTTTGAAAGGACTAAGAAAATAAAGGATGAAAAAGGATCCTATTTAAGAAGACTAAATTCATCTCTAAAGTTGGAAGACTATATATCCGATATCTTTTATGTCTTCTCTGTCATCTTATTTCCTACTTAAGGAAGCTGGTGATATTTTATGCTTCTCATCTAATGCCGTTGCACCATTTTTCCGACTTGGCTCGAAATAGCACTTCTTAAAGCTCTTGCTAATTTGACCTACTGCTTGCCAGAACTAAAATCCTCCTTGTATATGATTTCTATGTCTAAAGATTGACTCTAGTTACTTTATGAGTAAAAAGGCATCACCTGAATAAACTATAAAGAATTTTCTGAAATCTGAAACGAAAAATAACAAAAGAACGGTAGTAAGAATCTTTCATTAGTGCTCTCATGCAGAGTTACCACATTCTATTGGATTAAGAAACTCAAAGTAACTTAAATAGGTGAACGTAGAACCAAACACATATTTGTCATCACTAAGCTGGGAATTAACCATCTGGTACATACTTTTGTTGGACATTCATGTGTGTTCTATATCACTACTATATTCCTTTCAATTGAAATTGCATCATTCTCCTTCCCTTTACAATTATATTAAAAGCCTAAAACTATGTCCACCTATTGAGAATTAGCACTTACCTTCTCTCTGATATGATTTTGTTAGTCTGGTGTCTTTGTAAATTATGGACAGCATTACGTCTCTATTTTGTATGTTCAGTACTGAAATACAAAATGTGTCTTCTAGCGCCATTGTAATTAATGGTGTTGAATCCCATTACTAAATTGTCATCAATATGTTATATAGTCACACCGGGTTACCAACTCAAAGGGATGCAACTATTAATAATTATTGAAGTTTACAAGAACTGATCCCCATATCTGGCTTGAACAATTGCTCAAAATACATACTGAAAATGCTTTTTCTTATAATGTTAGAAATATAGTACAAACTTACTAATCAGCAATAGCTTATAAATATTTTTGGTTTCTTTGTCTCAGTAATAATTGTGCACTTTTGGATTGTAGATCATGAACCTGGTTGACTCTATACCTTCTAAGCAGTGCAGTTGATAGTTATACAGCTTTGTGTTTCCGAAGCCTTCTGATGTGTTGATTTTGAGATTGTGTACATCAAATGATAAATTCAAAAAAATGTGCATGTACTCTCTTTTATTGTAAATGTTTTTGCAGAGGGAGCTATAACTGGAGCTGCTGCTGGTGTTGTTGTAGAAGCTGTTCTGTATCCAATTGATACAATTAAAACTCGACTACAAGCAGGTTTAGACTGTGTAACATTTCATGAATATCACCTATAGTTGCTCTTCTTCCTTCCTACTACTTTCTCCAGTAGCACATACTGACTGTTTATCTGGATGGTTTTCACTTGATATTCTGACTAGTTTTTGATAAGGTTAGCTCTTAACAAAAATTTTAACAGCTTTGCACCCTTTTATTTCTCATCCATCAAACTGTCATACTGGAGTGTAAATTTCTTCAAACTTGTTTTTATTTATACGAGGATCTGCTGGCCTTCAGATTAATGTAGCTCATCAGCTCTTATAGTATAGTTGATTTGACCAGCTGTTCATGGTTTAATGTTAGGCAGTTCGTGGTGGGGGACAAATCATTTTGAAAGGTCTTTATTCAGGATTGGCTGGAAATCTTGCTGGTGTCTTACCGTAAGTAGTGGATTTTGAATACTTCACTTTATGAATCTGAATACATGGATGAACTTTATCTTCAGTGCACATTTTGCATTATAAAATTACACTGAGGTCCTTTCTCTACATATTATGTGTTCGAAATCTTATCCTGTCCTAAGACTTAATTGAACTGAACAAGGCCTTGAACTGTGAAGCTGAAATTTGTTTGCTGACAGGTTATGCATTCAGCTTCAGCATCACTAAATAGTCTGCAATTGCTTGACATTTTGGATAATGACAAGTAATTTGGATGTGCACTTGACAGAAAGCTATAGAAGGGCTGGAAACTNAGCGGAAGAAAATGTGAAAGGACTCATGTTATTCTAATTGTTTGATTTATTTTCAGTGATATAGCTGCAACAAATAAAGTAAGCTGTATGTTGACCATCCGGTTAATGATGATAAAAATTTACCTATTAGGTTATAGAAAACCTTTTAATATTTATGTGGAAGAAGAACCTGAAAAATTACTGTGCTGCACTTGTATCTTTCAATAGAATGGTAACTAGATCTTTGTTTGTGTAATTAATCTTCTATATATCATGGGTTTCTAAAACCAACTTACAGCTTTCAAATGTTGTACTCTCTTGGAAATCTGGAACTGCTTTCTTTGGAATACATTACTTTTGTTCACCAAAGTAGATTGGTCACTAAAATATTCTTCTGTTTCAGAGCATCGGCAATATTTGTTGGTGTATATGAACCTACCAAGCGAAAATTGTTGGAGAGCTTCCCTGAAAATCTTAGTGCCTTAGCTCATTTGGTAAGTATTTTGACTGATAAACTGTTAGGCAAATCTTCTTCTTATTTAGTCCTACTTTATTTTAAATTCTCAGTGATCAGGGCCCAGGAAATCTGTGGACTGCGAATTATTATCTACTACTAGACTATTAAATCCTGGGTTAAAATACCATCCTGAAGATGGAATGGAACTCCTTAACACTCATTATTCTTATTTCTGGAAGTAGCTTTGCAATTAACACATGTAAGTGGATTTAGATGATATTTGTGGGATGATAAGTTTAAACTGTCCATTGCCGTATTTCAATCAACTATGCAGTTTCAGTGAATAAATTAGGAGAACGACCAGCAATAAAATGTTCCATATTTCAAATATATTGAATTACAAAAGCTTATTTACACTTCATTTAAATTACAAAAGCTTATTTACACTTCATTTAGACTGCAGGTGCTATAGGCGGAGCTGTTTCTTCTATTGTCCGTGTACCCACTGAGGTAATTGAAAACTTAATTCGCACATCCTAGGTTTTGATGTTGCTTCAGAGATTTAAGATATGAATAACTTACAGGTGGTTAAGCAAAGGATGCAGACTGGCCAATTTGCTTCTGCCCCTGATGCAGTCCGGCTTATTGTTGCTACGGAAGGGTTTAGAGGCCTTTATGCTGTAAGTAGGTGTCTTTTTGGTGAATTTGTCAGAAACTGACATCCGTTTAAAACACTCCTGTTTATTTACAATCTGGACATTTCAGACAAAATTTAGAAAAAGAAAAAGGAAAAATATGTGAAATTTGATAGAGAAATTCACTAGTTGAATGATGGGTTTCTTTGTCCAACCTTTTGAGTGCTCCATTGTGTTCTTGCTTGAGTGCAGGGTTATGGCTCTTTTCTACTGCGGGACTTACCGTTTGATGCAATCCAGTTTTGTTTATACGAGCAACTGCGGATGGGATATAAGTTAGCTGTAAGTTGGCTGCTTATTGATGCTTACATTTCATCAATTTCAATCAAAATAAAAGTTACTGGTTCTGTCATGCATGGCAAATTCGAATCATAGCTATGTTGTCAAAGGTCTGTAGTAACAAAATTCACCATCTATCTTTGAACCCAAGGACCACTAGGAGCTGGCAATTACAATGAAACTTTCCGGTCTTTCTTTCTATGGTGCAAAAGTGGGAAGAATTAACCTAAATAGCCACCTACCCAGCGGCTTAAACTAAAAATAGCCGACAGATGTATAACATTTGTATAACCGTATATAATCAGTGTATAATTTATATAAATCGGCTAGAAAAATTAAATAGTGAATCTGGCCGGCTATTTGTGTATAGATTCCATTAACTGTCTAAAATTGAAGCACCAGTGGAGCATGAAGATTTCATCCATTTATATATTTTTCTATACGCATTGAGCTCGAACTGCTCAATTTAATTCTGCTTTTCACTACAAGATTTCATTAAGTTTTGCCCAAGGATTATATATAAACACTTCTTTCTATCCAGAAAACTATAAAGTAATTTTTTATATTCTTTCTTCGAAGAAGAGACATGATTTTGTTTTTATGCAGGCAAAAAGGGACCTTAAAGATCCTGAGAATGCAATGATTGGTGCCTTTGCAGGTACCAACATGTCTTATATTACTTCCAATCTTGCTGATATCATCTTAGTTATTGAGCTTTACCCTGTGATATGCAGAAATTTTTATCAAGAACCAATCCATGTATATTCACTGTAATTTTTAAAAGAGTGAAATAGTCCATATATGTCCAAACATGAACATGTGCCATATTAGGATCACAAGAGCCTTTTCCTTGTAGTCTATGGAAAATTCTATGGATTAATCTATGTGAGAGATGCTTAAATATATTAGGGAAAAAAACTGTGTCAGTTGAGACTTGAATTCTAGAGAAACATATTTACTTTCCCTTCTAGCGAACTCTTACTCTTTTGGCCATTATTGAAAGTAATATGCTTGACCTGCATGATTTCCTTTTTTTTTTGGTATGAGACAATCTATGTGCTCTATGAGTTGAAGATTATCTGTGCCATGCTTTATAGAGTTCCCTATTCTTCCGTCCGTTTGGATCACTAGCTCAGTGTAAGGATTGCGCAAGATCATATAAGGAGACAACAACCCATATTCTCAACTACAGTAGGCCGGAGCTGGGCATTAACATGGGGGCCCAACGTTGGGTAAACCAAGATAGGGATGAGTTTGGCTCTTCCATGTTAAAAAAATAAGCTTTAAGCCTAATTATACTGCAACAATTAGCTCATGAGGTGAGGATTACCCAAGAGGCGAAGACTATATAAGGAGCCTTCGTCAATTTACTTCTGATTGTAAAACCCTTTATCCATTAATATCATGGCAATAATTTCTATTCGGGCATCTGTTACATTTGAGTATTACATCAAATGCAGGTGCAATAACTGGAGCCATAACTACTCCCCTTGATGTGATAAAAACCAGATTGATGATTCAGGTTTGGCACCTTTCACATCTCTCTAACTACAGTTCTCTTATTCATTATTGAAAACACGACACCTGCTTTTGTTTATTTATATTACGTGCAGGGTTCAACAAAGCAGTATGAAGGCATTTTGCATTGTGTTAGCAGTATCGTAAAAGAAGAAGGAGCCTCCACTCTTTTTAAGGTCAGCACTTTGCATCCTGTGTTTTCTGTATGTTTGATTTTGAACAGAGTGGCTATAATGTTTATTTTCATCTTGTCCTTCCGCAAAGAAAAGAGTGCAGATGATGGATTGACATAAACTTTCTTATACTGATTGAGCTACAAATTTTCAGAATAGCCTCCGTGTTAGCTGTATGTGATAGAAGCATCATCTTCAGTCATTCCCTCTTCTTTTTATGAGCAGTGACATGATACCTGACATCTTTCATCTCGGGGGTGGGAAAGAAGTTCCAAAACAATACCAGTTCCTTTGAACCTTTAATCTCCTCAACAATTTCATGTAAAAAGCACTAGGACTTTAATGTTGAAATGTGGTTCAGCTTGGACTTCTCACCGGAAATAATTTTATGTGGCAACAGAATTATCCTGGAATTCTCACGGGAAATGATATCTATATAAATAACGTTGATAAATAATTTAACATAGCTGTGATAATCAACCAAACAAAAGCTAATTAGAAATTAAGCTAATTCTAGTCCATTGTATATTGCAGGGAATGGGGCCAAGAATACTTTGGATAGGTATTGGAGGATCCATATTTTTTGGTGTTCTTGAAAGGGTAAAGCAACTAGTTGCTGCTAAAGACCGTGTTGATTAAAATTTGAATCCTTCGAAATTGTTCTATCTTCATTGTTGCTACAAGACCAGAAATAGTTTTCTTAAAACATTTCTTCATTTGTCTGTAAATTATGGTTGGCTGAACCCTGTTAAAAATCAAAGGGGTATGGCATTATGAAATTGTATACGACGCAACATGGGGCGAGGGATCTAGAGCCACGGCATATATCGAGTAAAATCGATAGTCCGAACCGAGAAAGCTTATTGGATTATTGTTATTGGGTCAATGGTTAGATAACGGTTTAGTGTTATTTGATTATTGGGTTATCGGTTCAGGTCTCGATTTGCCCAATATTATTAACGGTTTAACCGATAGCTCAATAAACTTTATCAAATTTATAATTTTACCCTTAGGTATATAAAGCCACCTTAGGGCTTTATTCTCTATTAGTATTACATTTGGACTTCTTGATATTTTTTAAGGTGTAATCGCTAGTACTATTTTGTGTTGTTTCTACTTGCTTTGATTACTAGAGTTGAGCAAATCTCTTAATTCCTAATATGAAAGCATCTTTTGTAATTATGAGCAATTGTTGGATCAATACATTTCACGTATCAGTATATTTAATATTTCTCTCTTAAACAATAAAACATCATTACATTTGATGAAAAAATTAATAATGAGTTCTTCAGTCAATGTTTTGATAGGATGCAAGTTAATATGGTGAAGCCATCCTCTTTCATTTCATAATCTCATTGATGTTCATTTGTGTGTGAATATGTGAAGTACATTTGAGCATTTTTGTTGTTATTTGCAATTGAACAAACTTTTTGAGGAGGGTAGATATGTGTCCTTGAAACTTTGCTCACTCCTTAGAATATAACTGAAAGGGGTCAAGGTTATAAGTCAATTAGTGTGTTATATACTATATTTCCCCCTCTAAATTGAGTTATTTTATCGGGTAAACCGATAACTAACTAACATGATGGAATAAGATTCATGATCCAATAAAATATGAAGTTAGTTTTGCCACACAGGAATAAAATGAAAGCATGATTTGTATACTTCAAGATTAAACCATTGTTTTATTAAATAGAATTTGAAAGTCTAGGGAGATTTACCGCATGACATTTAAAATTAATGATATAGGCGGTGTATTATTTCATGATGAAATCTAGAAGAATATATGTACTATAAATCACCTATTACAAAGTTGACATGGCTTGTGCACCTTCTTCATCAACCAATTGTTTCACCCGACGAATCAAAATGTCAAAATCATGCTGACTCTATCAAGCTGAGTCGAACGTAACGATCTTTTGCAAAGAAGTTGTTACCTGGACGACCTATGATTTTTGCTACTCTAAAAATTTCTGTGCAGTTTTTATCTTCTTTTCTCTTACACTTCACCCACGCATAAGCTGCCATCAACAGCACAACGATTTCTTCTTTAGAACAGCGAACACTCGCGCGCACACAGTGGCCTAGGATAATGTTGCGAACATGATGTAGGCCTACATATTGTTTAAAATTTTTTTTTTGTCCAAAGTTAACGTGCTTGTGCCAAGATTTTAGAAGGAAAAAAAGTGCGTAGAAGCAGAATTTTTTGTTGAGAAATGAAAAAAATAGCTTCTTCCCAAAAACACTTTTGAGAAAAAAATACACGTAGGGCTTGTTTGGCCATAAAAATTTTATTTTTTCCTCAAATTATTTTCACTTTTTTTTCCGAAATAGGTGTTTGGCCATGAAAATTCCAAATATCACTTGAAGTTGAATTTCAGAATTATTTGCAATTTGAAAAACTCAAAAAAGCTATTTTTTAAAATTCTTTTCAAATCACTTACAAAAATTAAAAAACAGCTCCAAATTGTATTCATGTCAGGCACAAATCTAATTTTCACATACCATTTTCAACTTGAGATTTTTTTCCGAGTTTTTTCTGGAATTTCACAATTCTTGTGTTTAAACGCCCACTTAGATGCACTTTTTAAAAGCTTGGTCAAACACTAATTACTGCTGAAAAATATTTTTCAAATTAACTATCTAAAATAAGCTGATTTTAGAAGCTATAAGTATGTGATTGTAGTGGTTTTAAGGTTGTATTTCCCGACTCAATCTGATTTTTACTTTTAAGAAAAGGTTAAAATAAAAATCCTTTTATGTATAAGTTTTGAAAAGTATTTTTGAAAAAAGTACTTTTTAAAATAAGCTGATTTTAGAAGCTATTAGTATGGGATTGTAGTGGTTTTAAGGTTATATTTCCCGGTTCAATCTGATTTTTACTTTTAAGAACAAGTTAAAATAAAAATATTTTTATGTATAAGTTTTGTTGAGTGAAAAAAGTCACCTGGAGATGGTTCTCTGACCGTCAAGAAATGTGCAATACTGAGTTGGAATGCGTTGGAGGCTAAAACGTTTAGTTAAAGAGAAGATGTGAATCATTTTTTCCCAACGGCCCCTCATGATTTCATGTCCAAAATTGAAGATTTGCTTGCCATCTCCTTGAGCAACAACTTTCAGTAGAGTTAAGGCTCTCAATTGGAGAACCCCATTTCAGCCAGAACAATATAGTCCATCATTCTTTTATACACATTCACGTCCTTCACAATAGCCCACCTACAATATTAATTATTAAAAAACGGTGAGCGGTAAAACAAAAAATAGAGTTGGTTTTAGCCGTTATGTGTCCATGATGGAGGGAGAGCCGAACAGGGCGGGTCAAAGAATTCAGTAACTTTTGTCCGAAGCTTGTATTTGTCTTACGAGTTTTATTTATAAATTATTATTTTAGAACTCAATAACTCATCAACAAGGGTTGTGATGGAGTGGTAAATACTCCTTCATCCTTAACCAGAGTCTCGGGTTCGTGCCCTGGGTATGGAGTCGTCTTTGTTATAGAATGCTTTTGCCCTCCAATGTGAGACTTCCCGGCGCAAATCTAGATTTACTCGGGTCCTAATGCAGGTACCGGATGAAAGCCAAAAAAGACACCGGATGAAAAACCAAAAAAAATAAATGAAAAGAATCAGAATCAAGTTTCAAATCTTGGCTCTAATTCTGAACACGTCCAATGTTCACGTAGTTGCATACGTGGGTTAAATATCCATAAATTATGTTGCCTCTATTAACAAACAGTAATTTAGATTAAATATTGAATATATATTACCCAAATCTGCTTCAAGCATGACCAGTGAGCTTAGATACTGAGAAAAGCATGAGATCTTTGTCAGCAGGAGCTGGAATTGCTGTGTAATGAGGCCAATAATAGGCATGGTCATAAATTGTCTTCACATTGGCGCCTTTTAAAACTGCGACTTCTCAAGTTCCCATCTGGATTATTTGGTGAAGTCACAAACTCAATCACATCCCCAGCAAAATCAGATTTGTTTCTTAAAATGGATGAATCTCCTTCAAATTCATAATACAGTGTTTGAAAGAACTCTGTTTGAAGCTTATAGGGCTGAGAAAATTAAATCAGATCAGTTTCAAGTGCATTCAAGAAATAATTTTGTTTCTAAAGTGTATTGGGAAAACAAAAGGTTACCAACGAGAACAATTATTTCAATAATTTAACTATGTTTTGATAGTTAAATTTTTCTTATTTACTTTTAGATCACTTAATAGGTTACTACTAAATATCCATAATCTATACAAATTGCATATTATTAATCTAGAGAACAAGTAATATACTATAACTAGTTAAACTGTAGTATAATGTAAATAAAAATGGGTGAAAATCATACTTCCCCTCCAACTTTATCTAAAATAAATTATCTTATATAGTAGAAAGATAATTACATAGAAGAGGGATCGAAAATATCAACTCGATATTTTTCCCATGGCTACGAGTTGTTACAAAGAAATCAAAATATGGAGATAAATATAATTCCATAAACCACAAGGGAGAGTAATGTTACAAAGAGAAACATTGGGAGAAGGGGGTCTCTAAATTTAATCTATTACATTTGATATGTTTTATTAAGCTAAATAGTTACTTTTTGGAGTGTCATGTCATAATCCCAGTATAAAATATAAAAATTCAAGTGATATTTAGTACCTTTTAGTTAATTTGGCTAAAGTCGGATGACTTATGTGGCAAAAAATAAAAAAGTAATTTTATGTTACAAACTCAAAATTAAATGACTTTTATGTGACAAAAAATAGAAAAATAACTTTTGTATTATAAATTCAAAGTTGAATGAACATCGATGCAATTCACTCGAATAAATAGACATCACTTAGGATTTAAGGAGAAAATGCCTATTGTCCAAAATGGGAGTGGGGTTCTGATATTTTAAGAAAAGTTAGAGGGGACAAATAATTTTCATCCAAATAAAAATAAATATATTATCGAATATATTAAAGTTACGTAATATCTGGTACAACAGATTAAGCTGTATGGAGGGGATAAATAATTTTCATCCAAATAAAAATGGTTATACTATCGAATATATTAAAGCTACATAATATCTGGTACAATAGGCTTAGTCATAGGATAGAGTAAAATAATATTAACATTATCATTATGTATAATCTCTCTCTTCCGTATATTTTTTTGTTAACATAGCTAGAAGAACAACTCAGTTAAAGAGTGAGGGGTCAATGTGTAATCAGTTAAAACTAGAAGGAGTTAGAAAATAGAAGTCTGTTAGAGGGTAGTTAGTGCGCTGCTTCTCTATATAACAGTGTACACTTGTATCAGTTGAGGTAATGAAAAATGATCTCCTCTCTTACTTCTCTCTCTCTCGTTTGTTCTTTGCTACTGAGTCTGTGTGAACTGATTTGCATGTCTTACTTAGGAACCTCCATTGTCAACTGGTTTTCATCTCTGTCCAGCTCAAGTTAACATGGTATTAGAGCGGCGATCGTGAATTACAGAAGCTCCGGTGTGTAATCTGACGAAATTCCGGCAAATTCAAGTCATACGAAGCCCTAATTTTTCAAACATAGCAGAGAATAAGGTAACCCTACTCGAACACAATCATCCACTTTTTCTACAAGCATCTGATGCTCCAAGACAAGTTTTGATTCCTACTAAACTGACTGAGCTAGAAAATTATGCCCTGTGGAGTAGGGCAATGAAACTAGCTCTTAGGAGTAAAAGTAAGCTTGAATTTGTGGATGGAAGCTGTGTTAAGAGTATGTATAGGGGAGAATTGGCAGAGCAGTGGGAGAAATGTAACGCGATTGTATTGTCATGGAATTGAGTACAGTTGCGAGTGAGCTAATGCCAACCATAGTTTTTGCATCTAATGCTAAGAAAGTATAGAGTGATTTCAAGGAAAAATTTGACAGGTGTAGCTTAACAACGATTTATCACCTTTGGACTGGAATAGCCACACTAAAACAAGGCACTGATTTAGTGACTACCTACTACTCCAAAATGACAAATTTGTGGAGTGAATTGGATGTGTTGGCACCTAAATCGTCTTGTAATTATGAAGAATCTAGACCTTTCTTGATTCATTTAGAGTAGCAAAGATTGCTTCAGTTCCTTACGGGGCTAAATGAGAGCTACAACAATGTGCGGAGTAATGTATTATTGAGAAGGCCAGTGGT